GGGAAACAATGGATGGATGGAAGATATACAGTACCTACCTACAACCATTCTAACATGAGAGGAGGGTTGAGATTATTTTCATATTTGAAATTTCTGGTTGGAATTACTGCCTTGTGATCACACAGAACGTAATTTTACATGAGAAATGGCTAATACTTTGTATGCAATACTTGTTTTTAAAGAGTGTGAGGATATGCAATGCTTTTAGACAAAAGGGGCAGAGATAAATGTTTGTGCCAAAAGTTCATTATAGCAAAACAACTTCAGGTCTGTTATTGATGATGAAATAATTTTGTTACATGGTTGATTTTGCTTATTACATCTCCTTTAATTAATAATTATCTTAAAGCTGAAGTACCTAACTTGGTCATAAATAATACATTGTGGTTTCCCCAACAGAAAGAGTTTTGTGAAAGTAAAATGTGAACAAATCAGACCCCAACATGCAGTCTTTGCAGACATTTATTTTTGCACAGCGAGGACCATGTGAGTCACAATTTGACTCTATAGGCTGAAAGCAGATTGGCTGGATGAGGGTGGTCCTCCCTCTTTTTCATCTTTCTGCCTGACAAAGCTAATATGAAGATGTGACATTGCCCAAAATTATATGCATGTTAATATATTATTCTGTTTTTCATTTCACCAGGAGGAAACTATTTTACAAGCACAGACGTCACAAGTTCATGAGCAGGTGAGATGCAGAGATTCTCCGCAGTAGATGGATTTTTATTAACACGCTCTCCTCTGTAGAATGGAGAAACGCATCAATAAGTTTCGAGGCTTTCTTCCTCGTAAACCCATGAAGTTTGGCTCCTCTTTGCACGATCTGGAGGAAGGAGAGAGCTTCACTGCACCCTTCAGTCGATCAAGGATTCACCAGTGAGTCCAAGCAAAACATTACATTTATCAACATTACAAAGGTAATAATGTTTAACTTAACTTGTATTCACCACAAATGATTGTTTGCTGACAGAAACATAGCTGGCAGCCGGTAACGTTGTAACATAGTAAAATAGTAACATCTTACAATTCTTTTTTCAAAGGCACATTTCTTGTTAACAGGAGAAATTGTGTGTTATCTTCAGTGCGCTCCATATCAAATTGCTGTATATACAGATTAAACTATGTAAGATACTGTATAGACTCATTACACGCAAAGTGAAATATGCCAGGCCTTTGTTCACCTGTGTGTACTAAGTGTGCACTTGTATATGTTGGAATTCTAATTCTTAAGATTTTTCTTAATATCTATTTTTTACATGGCATCATTTCATTTCATGGATGGGTCAGGGATTTTGTGGTAATAGTGTATGAAGGAAATGTGCATCAGGCTCTGTCTTAGGATGACGTACAGTACAGACCAAAAGTTTGGACACACCCACCCATCTCAAGAGTTTTTTAACTTCATGACTATCAAAATTGTAGATTCAGACTGAAGGCCTCAAAACTATGAATTAACTCATGTGGAATTATGTACGTACCTAAAAAAAAAAGTATGAAACAACTGAAAATATTTCTTATATTCTAGGTTCTTCATAGTAGCACCTTTTGCTCTGATTACTGCTTCGCACACTCTTGGCATTCTCTTGATGAGCTTCAAGAGGTGGTGACCTGAAATGGTCTTCCAACAGTCTTGAAGAAGTTCCCAGAGATGCTTAGCAGTTGTTGGCCCTTTGAATGAGAAAGTGTGTCCAAACTTTTGGTCTGTACTGTAGATCTTATAGGTTATTTATACGAATGATTACTGAGAAAGAATCAGTCAAATGTGGAGGACACATTTCCAAGATGTACAGTATACCATGACATGGACTCTTCAAAGTCACAGGCCTCATACATTTGTAACTACTTCCATTTGTTGCACCATAGTTTCATCATCCACAACAAAGACACCTTCTTTAACAACGCCACGAGGAGCCGCATTGTGCACCACATCCTGCAGAGGGTCAAGTACGAGGAGGGCAAGAACAAAATGGGTGCGTTTGAGCTGTATTTTCTTTGCAGACATGATTTAAGTGTCAGACTAGCAGCTGACATAGTACATGTTCATACTATATATTACTATTTATCTTTCTATCTAGGGCTAAATCGTCTATTGAGTAATAACTCCTATGAGGCAGCATTCCCTCTCCATGAGGTAGGACTAAGAATGCACACGGTACCAGGAGTAATTTAACTTAAAGGGAACATATGTAATATGTACAATTAGTGTCATTGTAAAGTTATTACAATTACAGTCCAACGTTAGTTGCCAGAATCTTCCTGTTTTGCAACACAGGTCAATCCTAAGAACTGATTACTGATGCAGTCCACTTGCTGGAGCTTAGATTGAAACAGTACAAACTCTGTCTTACACTTGACTACATTTTTGTGTGTGTGTGGCAAAACCAGCTAAATTTCATCGAACAAACTGGAAACCCAAATGAGAAACTGATTGCTTTCTGATTGGATAATGTGTTTGAAAAATGAACCATGAATATAATGGACATCATGTCCATTATATACGTGTTGATCTATTTTCTGGACGCACATAAAAGATGGATGGTGAATGTAATGTAACGTCAAATATTACATACTGTCCCTGTAAGTACTGCACTTTTTTCCTGGTATCAGTACTCTACTTAACTCTTTTTTGTGACAACTATTTACTTTTTCTTTTTACTTTTAAATCCAAAAATCAATTCATATTTATAATCACTAGTAGTACACAAACATGTTTTAAGAGATTATCCAATCTTCTAATGAAATGTATTGTGGAAAGCCATGCTTGTAAGTTCAGACCATTCGACTTTTGTCCCACATGGTTATGTTTTGTCATAGTCTCTGTCAGTGTGAAATATTTCTACTACAGTCAAATGTGTTTTAATTGTTTCAAAGACAATGCTTAAAAAGTCCCAAATATACTGTGTACTCGGCCAAAAGGCATAATACGTTTTAGTTTGTTTAGAGTTTTTTTTTTTCAAACTAATACTTGTATTTCATGACAATTGTTTTTGTTTTTTACTTTTACTGATGTACCTAAGTGTGTAAAAGCTAGTGTAAAGCACACAACCACAAAAACAACAACAGTACTGTTTTTTTATCTTCATTAACTGAAAAGTACATTCCATCCTTCTCACTTATCTTTCCTGGTGTTTCTTCAGGGGAGTTATCACTGTAAAAACCCAGTGCGGACTCATGGAGCGGAGAACCACAGACACCTGCTGTACGAGTGCTGGGCCTGGTGGGGAGTGTGGTACAAATACCAGCCTCTGGACCTCATACGGTACATAAATAAAAATATATGATTATAGATAATATAATATTCTTTGAGAGTATATATAAATCTCTTTGCCAGAACAAACCAGTTCAGTACCATATAAATCAACTATTAACATGTGTTGGTGATATCAACGGTTTTGTGATTTAGGGCTATACAAGAATAAGTTAAATTGATTTGAATTGAAATACATCTTATTGTATTGTAAGATGTATAACAAAAGCAAGCTAAAAAGATTGCCTAAAAATCTGCATTGCACAACGGTTTGACAATCCCAATCTGCATGCTACATTTTTATGTGTGATTATATTTTGATTTTAGGAGGTATTTTGGGGAGAAGATCGGCCTGTACTTTGCTTGGCTGGGCTGGTACACTGGGATGCTGTTCCCTGCGGCACTCGTTGGCTTATTAGTTTTTGTCTATGGGCTCTTTACCCTGGAGCAGTGCCAGGCCAGGTAGGGATACAACTGCGTTTTAACTTTTGTATTGTTTCAAACATCAAAAACATTCAGCCTCTTTTAAAGTTTATATTTTTTATCATCAGAGACTTGCCCGTTACTATTTACACACGTCTGTCTGTCTGCTGAGGAAACATTATTTCTGTAGCTAGAATGTTAAAAGTCTTGTGCTCTTTCCTTTATCTCCTTTATTTAAGCTCTTCAAGGTCATTATGTATTATTACACACAAACTATCCTTGACATTAGCTGTATTGTGTCTACACAGAAGCAATCAACCTCCACTTTAAAGCCACACATCACTGGGATAGAAAGTGGAACAAAGAAGATCATTTTAAAGTGAATTAGTGAATTATGATGCAATTTCCCTTTTAACCATCTAGACGATTAAGATATTATAATGATTTTTTTAGTGTTCTTTTAAATTGTACAAAAATACCGTAATTCAGGTTTGTTCTGCAGTAAAGAAATCTGTGAGGCTACGGACATCGCCATGTGCCCCATCTGTGACCAGTACTGCCCGTATTTAAGACTGTCGGACAGCTGCATCTACGCTAAGGTGAAGACCTCTCATTCCTTGCCTATTCCAGATGTATGAGACTGTTATTTTTTGTAATATTTGTTTTTTATCAGGTGACTCATCTGTTTGACAATGGAGCCACAGTTTTCTTCGCGGTTTTCATGGCAGTTTGGGGTAGGTTTAGTCACCATGCGCATTTATCCCACAACATTCAATTTCTACTCATTTTGATAAGGCATGCATTTCAAGCGTGTCCAGCATGGCATTTAGCCTTTTTGGGTCAGGTTCATAGTCTGTATATAGATAGACAATGCTAACCCTCTTGCTCAATGAAGCCCAATAGATAAGTGCTCCTACACAGGGTTTTGCTCCTACTTGCTCTGACTTCTATTGACTAGATTGAAAAGTAAACTCCTCTATCTCAGTAACCATTTGTGTCACACACACCATTTTGGGCTTTAAGAATCCGAGATCTAGTGCTGTCGTTTATCAAATTTGTATGGCACGAACAACCTTAAATAAGTATACATTTATCTATCAAACAGGCAATCACTCTTGGCCACTATGTAAAATTTAATAAACCAATTCTGTCAACACAATCGACACGACAGTAACAGCCTGGAGTAATACATCTATCTTCTGATCTATATGTTGCCAATAAGTAAATTCAAAATTAGAAACCTAGTCCATTAAATATACATACCTATGCTCCTTGCTATTAGTGAGGCTGCAGAAGCTGTACCTTACAGTGATAAAAAGCCATTTTTTCAATGCTGTACAAGGTCCCAAGGAATTGATGGCATGAACAAATGACCTGCTCCATCGGCCGGTTCATAAAGATGATGTGAGTCTGTAGATGGTGGTGATGAATTGGCAGTAGATTCACGGAGCGGTTGATCTTTTGAGGTGATAATGTTCAGGTGAAACAGTGTATCTGTGAAGGAGATAGCAAGAAAAATATATCACTGTATTATCCAAAATGGAAATGTATGGATGTGCAGGCTTTTTATAGGGAATTACTCGAAAGAGAAAGCCAGCAGAAGGCAATAGTAGGTAAAAAGCAACAGTAAATATACAAAAGAGATGCTGCTAATTCTCTGGTAGCGTCAGTGATTGATGCGAGAATGGTAGGGTTTAATATCCCTACTATTCTCGCAATATTTCTAACACTCCTACTCTACTCAACCTATATTCATGACTCTTGTGATATTTATTTTTCAAACTTAAACTTTGAAGTATAACAAGCCATGAAGAAAAAAGAAAAAAATCACTTTTTTTGTCATTTTGAAATGTGGTGAAATCCGACCACTACATGCTTACTTCATCTAATTGCATGAGAATGAGCTCTGGGAGTCACTTGTAGACGTTTGGGCTGAGAGCTCATTGGCTGAGTGTCGGAGGTCTAATCTTTTTAACATTTCTGTCCCAAAAAGATGAGCTAATAATGAGACAAAACTAGTGAAAAGTGTTTTGAGAAGTGTTTATAGTGGTTTGAATGTTTGAAATACAAAGTTTGAAAAATACATGTAAAGTTTAAAGCAACAAGATCTATTGATTATTTATTCAAAGCGTCTATTTTCTTGGCTCTTCATCATGTTTGATGGAGGCCAATAGCCCGACCATCACGATTGTTTGCAGAATTGAATAATTAATCGCCAGCTCCATAGCAGACCATCTTCCTTTAAACTAGAAAGTTAGGTACCCCAGCTTTAAGGCAGCTTTTATTGGTATATATGGTATGGTATATATTTACCAAACTGAGACTTGTGGTGCAGTTTGAGAGACTCCTTTACTCTGCTGTCCAGTCTCCAACATCTGAACAAGAAGTACAACACCAAACACAGCTGGAGGGCAAAAGTCAGCACCCCCAGCATCACGATGGCATCGACCGCTGAGAACAGAAAGATGGAGCATCAGGGGTTTTATCATGACAGGGATTCAGCTGCATTATTATAGTCCTAGTGTGGGCTGTTGTGCATATACACAAGTAATATGTGCTTCTTATTTACAATGAGTTTATACAGTACAAATATAACTTAAAGTTAATTACTTTAAAGGAATGCAGTGTATTTCTGAAGATAGCACATCATCTGCATGATGTTATGAAAATAGAAAGTTAAAATTTGGCTTTCTGCAGGGAGAGCTTTATCCCACAGCTGCAAAACAGCATATCCATGGAAACAAGCAGGAGGACTGGACATGATGGACATGTGACATCCTATTTACTACATTTTTTTTTCTAAAAGTTTAACAATGACCCTCAAAAGAAAAGTCTACATATGAGGTTGTCACCCAGAGTGTCAAGGGGCTGACCAATGAATAGTGTACTAGTCTGTGGTTATTATGGACTGACCAAATGCCACAACAACAAATGAGAAGAATGATTTTAGTCTTTTGTTGTTGAAGAGGAATTCACTCAGTTTGTTTCTTTCTTTACTCATCAACTGTTTATTCCCAAGGAAGAAATAGTGGAGAAAAGTAAACTTGGCTTTTTCAGTTTGAAGCCTATTATTGCAAATCAATTCTGTAAAAACAGTTGTGAACAGACCGGCTGCAGACACCAGCGAGGTGGACTCCCAGTGGGAACTGGGTTCAACTTGGTCCAGAGTCTCCGTATGGTTCCCCAACAATACCATCACTCTTGAATCCTGCAAGAAGCATTTCAGTGTAATACCGTATCAAAGTAAGACAAAACCTTAAAAGTGAAACATTTTATCCAGTCCTGTTTAATAATCATTAAGGCACGGTGCAGGTAGAACTTGAGTTTACAGGTTAAGATAGCTTCCAAAGTCCAACTGATCCGAGACTCTAGACCAGTGGGGCTTTTGCAGTAGTTAGACTGACATAATCAATAACTCCAGTCACAGTACAGAAGGAGGGCTTTTGTTTGTCAATTACTTCACTAGGATAGTTTTGTCCTCATAAGAAAATAATAACATAGTACATTTCACACTGTCAGTTATTGCAAATGGTACACACTATGTTATACCTGTTAGTACAAAGGAATACAAGTTAAACAGAGACTGACAAGACCGTACCTTTTACCAAGTCTTTAGACGTTGTATTCCAAAAGAATATCTGCTCTTAACGTGAGCTTGTTGAGTTTTCCCACTCACCAACAGTGAAGCAGTCGCCTCTCTCTCTCTCTCTCTCTCTCTCTCTCTCTCTCTCTCTCTCTCTCTCTCTCTCTCTCTCTCTCTCTCTCTCTCTCTCTCTCTCTCTCTCTCTCTCTCTCTCTCTCTCTCTCTCTCTCTCTCTCTCTCTCTCTCTCTCTCTCTCTCTCTCTCTCTGGGACTTTGTTCTCAAACACACTGACTGACTGACTGTGTCAGCTACTTATAGTTACCTTTAGTCACTCCCTAAAATTAAAAAACACAAAAACTCTGTTGAAAGAATCCCTTTTTACAGGGATTGAGAACATGTGATGCTACTGTATGATCTACAGTATTAACTCAGACAGGTAGATAAGGAGCACACAGAACATACTTCAGTATTCAAGCTATCAGACATTAATTCACACAAGTTTAACTCAAGACTGGATTATATGAATAATTCAGAAGAATTACCTCTCTCAATATTAATTTTTTATATCTTTATTTATGTAGGGAGAGTGCCAGACTCTTTTTCAGGAACACCCTCAGCTAAAACTATAAATCCTTAGTTCTTATTACATACTCCATGTAACTAAACTGGTTTTCATTTTAAAATTCTTCTATTCTCAGGATTATCTTTCTTTGTTTTTTTTGGTCTGGGTTGCTAAAAAGTGCTGTATAAAACCGGTCCTCTTCCTGCTTGTTTTCGTGGAAAGATTATCAAGTTATAAGCTTCTACACTACAGGATGGTGTCATTAACAATAAATACATACAGTACAAATATCTTCTCTGTATGGAATGAACAGACCGGTCACCATTTTTCAATTTACACTGAAACGTAGATGCAACGATTCAGACTTTAGAACTTACTGAAAACAATTGAATCTAGTGAAATAGTCTATGTTTAATGTCAGTTATTTTAGAAAGTGAAAACCTGAAACTGTAAATTGAAATATTTTTAATACAGTAGAGGCTTGCCAAAAATCAAAAGATTTAAAGATTGCTATCTCAATTTTTTTGTGATTAGTGGCACCTGAATTAAAACACCTATAAGACCTATATAGGACCAGCAGCATCATGTGTATTTTGTTTTGTCTTGAATAAAAGTTGAAATCATTGAATTATCGAGTAATTTTCACCACTACATTGAAAATACACTACAGGTATTTTGGGGCTCCCTGGCTTCTTTTTCTCTCAGATTGTCCAACCCTTTGTGTAACAGTTTCACTTGAAGTTATTGAGGAATATCATTAGTGTTATTGGATTCTATAAATAAACAGACATCAAAACTGTAAGATAAGTATTTAATGGATGTTTTGAATGGAAAATATACTATCTATACGTATCTTATATCTATAACTATGTAATGTGAGTAAATATTCACTGTTTGACCAATTTAGATATCACGACTTAATGCCCTTCAAAATATTACCGTCTCATCTCCTTCAGAAACCTCAAGGACATCAAGAGTGATACTCAATCGCAAAAATGTGATTCTAGACCATATATGACCTTGTTTCTCACATAATACTCTAGTCTCATTATTATCAACTCTCTCTCCGGTTTTAACTTTTCTTTCACTCAAGTGCCTCTTGGAAAACCTAAGGTCATCAATATACTGTACAACAGGACTCACTATTCACAAAACAACCAAATCAACAGATTCAACACAGTAATACAGGTTTATTTAAGCTAAAACATCATAATAGATATGTTAGGTGCACTTAGGAGCTTTTCATTTTCGATTTGGGGAAGAGAATATTTTCAGGTTGAATGCCAAAAGTAATTGTAATCTCCTCATTAAAATGGTTCCTGCTGTTTAGCTAACAATGAGTAATGTTTGAAGTCAGTTTTTGTATGAGGGCTCACACTCAAAAAGGCCAGACCTGGGGCTTCCTCTCTCATTAGTCTTGTGCTGAGGTCACTTTCAGGGCATGTTCCCACTTTATCAGAATCAGAATCCGAATCCTTTTATTGCCATGAAAGTAACAGGAAGTCACAAACTAGGAAATTGCTTTGGCTCTCGGTGCAAACAAGTTAAAGCAGAAGAAAAACAAGAAGGCATAAATAAAAATCTGCATAAATGTCTTCAGTTTACTATATACTGTACAAGTGGAATAGACCCTTAATAGTGCAGTAGAGTGCAGTAAAGTGACGGTCATAAGGTCAGAGGTCAGTGATGGTTTATGAAGTGTTCATGAGTCCAACAGCAGAGGGGAAGAAACTGTTCTTATGGCGGGAGGTTCTGGTTCTGATGGACCGTAGCCTCCTGCCCGAGGGGAGAGGTTGGAACAGACCATGTGCGGGATGAGAGGAGTCAGCAGTGATACGACGTACAGGTCCTGCAGCGAAGGACAGAGCACACCCCTTGGTCTGTTTCACATAAGGGGGAAAAAATCCTCTATTTATGGATGCATTACTTGTTAGTGCCATATCAACAAACTCTGAGCTTGAGGAGCACAGGGACTGGCCTCACGCCGCTAAAATATGGAACAGTCTTCTTAAAAATATGAGATTCTAGCTCCTGGCATAAACTTAATTACCTTATCCAGCTTTATGATAACACTTTTCATTCACAGTACACTAAATGTACTTTGCAGTGCTTATGTTTTATGATGTTAATATTTTCTTTCTTGTTTTGTGAACCACTTTGACCTTGAGTATGATCCATGCTATTTCAACTTTTTTTGTTTGCTGACTCTATCGATTTTTATATTTCAGCCACAGTTTTTCTGGAGTTCTGGAAAAGGCGCAGGGCAGTTCTGGCCTATGACTGGGACCTGGTGGACTGGGAAGAAGAAGAGGTGAACAACGATTTTATAACTTATAAGATGACCCCATGTGACATAGTCTGTTCTCTAGTGCAGAGTGGTGAGTGAGACAAACTTGTCCAAAGTGCTCCGGTGTCATTATCGATGTGTCAGTCAAATCTCTGTGAAGGCGACTGTGACTGTGGCAGGAGGGAATACAATGTTCACACGTTGTCGCATTGCAGAGATATAGCAATTCAAGATTCATATGTGTGTTAGAAAAGCAGTTTAATTTAACTGGTAATATGATTCAGATTTTGCTAATGTTATGAGCCAGAGGTTGTGTTGATGTTGTATAATTCTATTTCAATTTGAGGGCAGGTGCCAATATAACTGTAATTCACAAATTTTGATAGATTTATAGGGTTAGATTTGCAAACCCGCCACATTATTCTTATGACTGAAAGTTCTTCATGATGGCCAACATCATGCAGGTTTTTGAATATTGTCACCACTTCTTGAGGAAATGATTAGACCGTAATTGATATGTACTGACAAAGAAGACGTGGAACTACAGTATGTGAGAGTTTTCATTTCATGCAGATTTGTTCAGGAATAGGCTTTGAACCAAACTAGAAATAAGAGTATTCACAGTTACCACATTTATCAAGGAAGAGTTTTCAGCTGTCCTCCACCACTATAGGTGTTATGTTGTATGAATGCAACCTACTAAACACCATTTTGTTATTTGATAAATACTAGATTCAAATATTTTCAGGAGGAAATCCGTCCACAGTTTGAGGCCAAATATTCGAAGAAGGAGCGTATGAACCCAATTTCTGGCAAACCAGAGCCGTACCAAGCTTTCACCGACAAGTACAGCCGGCTGGTGATGTCGGCCTCTGGAATCTTCTTCATGGTGAGACTGAGACATGTAAAGCTTTTGAGGGCATGTCTTTATGTTTGAATATAGAATATAGAATATACAGTATATATGAACAGTATAAGAGGTGATCAGAATACAATACTGAACATTAGTTTGAGGAATAATTTGATGTCAATCCATTTTGCGTGTGTCAGATCTTGGTGGTGATAGCGGCTGTATTCGGAATAGTGATCTACCGTGTGATCACCGTCAGCACGTTTGCAGCGTTCGGCTGGGCTCTGATCCGCAACAACTCTCAGGTGGCCACCACAGGAACCGCTGTATGCATCAACTTCTGCGTCATCATGCTCCTCAATGTGGTACGTTAGATTCAAGGAACAGTATGTTGTTTTTACAAGGCCAATCACAGCTCCAAGTACCAGTTAGGCTTCGAGTGCTGGGGTTTAAGTAGTGATCAAACCAGCTGGATTCCACGAAGGAAACTGCTAAAGCAGTCAAGAACATAGGAAAGAAAGATTTGTACAGCAGTATTTGTGATTAGGATTATGATTTACTTTTTCTGTCCCACCTCACTTAGAACAACTGTTTATATTGAATTTTGTGTGTGTGTGAAATGTATGTACACAGGTTTGAAATAGATATAAAAATATATTGTTAAAGATTAGAATTATGATATAATATAATTCATTGTTGACATGATTTGTACATGTTGACCGGGTACAAATTCAATTGTACTGTCCCTTTAATGAATACACTGGTCAATTGTCTTTATTATTCAATCCATTGAAAAAACGTGTCATTTGACCTGCAGCTCTATGAAAAAGTGGCACTGCTTCTCACAAACCTCGGTGAGTTTGATAATAAACAGCTTGATATACAGAATATTAGAGTGTGTGTGTATTGTGAT